TATCTATCTATCTATCTATCTATATCTTATCTGTCAGTCTATCAATTTATTCCATTGATGAAAGAAAGAGTTGATAGCCTTCCCTGCTAAGAAGTAGCAAAGATGGGCTTTGAAAGGGAGTCGTTTCAGAAGGCAAGCAGACCCTGCCTCCTTGCTGACTGGGCATCCTTTGGAAAGGAAGAATTGCTCTCTGGGAAGCAATAGGGTAAAGAGAAAAAAAAAACAAAACAGAATCAGCAACTGAGTGTGAAACCAGCCTCGGGCACGCACTTACCTGTGTGACACTAAGCAACTCAGTTCACCCATAAATAAGAGTTGAACTCAATAACCTCAAATGTCCCTTCCACTTTTAAATGTATCATCATGTGATTTTATGGAAATTTACCTTCTTCCCTGGATTTCTCATTTTGCATCTGACCTGGGCAGGGGCCCTGGAAATTGCAAGGCTGGCAATAACTTTCAGGTCAGATGTATTCAGAGGGACTACCCCTTGGATACTCCTCTCATCTCAACTGAAAACAGAAATGGCCCAGACCTAAAAACAAGCTTTCGTCTTCTTGGTTATCAGTCAGGGCTTGTCTGACCTTGGAGAGTAACATGTTCTGTTTATTCCAAACCTTGGAATTGAAATAAACTATTCTCCCCAAATCAGACAATCAATCAAATTGAACAACACTAGACTTTGGAAAGAAAGGAATGAATATCCTGCACCTCCCCTCCCTCCATCCACCCTCTCCACCAGTCAAGGCTGCAGATGCTAACTGCAGCTTTGACCCTAACTCACTCATTCTGAAGATACTGAAATCGAAGTATTCTGCCCAAGCCTCTTGCAATTCTTTAAACACGCAAATATGTTTTTTGGACTTGCAAAGTAAATAATTTCAGATGCTGGTCCAACTCCTGTTGAAAGAATTCAAGAATCCAAATAGCCTGGAGTATTAAGGATCATTTGGATGAAAATCTGAAAGGAGGAGGGGAACCCGCACATTTCTAGCCCCTCCAGGGCCTTCCAGTTGTAGACACTGGGGATGAGTGGTGGATGTCACAGAAGCCCCTTGCTAATTTGCACTAATGAATGTCAATTATGGTATTCTGCAGATTGGTAAATTGGCAAATGAACATAATAAGAGAACCCAGGAGGCTGCTGAATTCTTTGGGCTTTGGCTGAAGAAAGAGTACCACATCTGGCTTTGGGCCAGAGGTCCTGGGTTTCTCAGCCTAGAGCCTAGGGCATGGTACTCAAGGTCCCTCCCTTTGGGTAGGAAGCAGCAAAGTTGTTGACTTTTACTGTGAATTCAAAGATTTGAGGATTATTCTTGTATAAACTCTTTCTTCTTTGAAATCAAAATTTCCAAGAACCTGAGTTCAAATCCCACTTTTGAGGCTTACTCTTTTTGTGGCCTTAGGGAAGTAACTTACCCTCCCTGTGCCTCAGTTTCCTCATTTGTAAAATGAAGCAGTGGGACTAAATAATGTTAAGATCCATTTCAGCTCTAGATCCAGGGTCCTAAAACTTGGAAATGCACCAGGGTGCTCTGGCTAAAGTCAGAAAGTGCCGGTTTGGAACCTGGAAGAGAGACTTATTTTCCTTGGGAAGTTCTGGAATTAATCTCTCTTGCTTTCTCCCTTCATCTCCTTTCTCATTTACCCTAAAGGCAAAATAAGTTTACTAAGGAAAACGTAGGAGAAAAGTACCCCAGAAAAGTACCCCTGATGGTAGTCTTTATTTTTTCTAATTGCTAATAGCACTGGGGGGCAGACAATTGGATGCCTCCTTATTTTAAATCTCTTCTCTCTTCTTAGGTTCCAAATTCCCACCTGCTCTTTTGTCTGCTTAAATTGCAAAGGCTGAACTTAAGACCCTCAGATATTCACCTGGGAATGAGAAGTTTGCTCCCTTTCTCCCTTTGTGCTGGTTATAAGCTGCACCTTTTTTGTCTCTGGTCCTTAACCTCTCATATCAGTTTTAGACCCTGCTTGTTTCTAATGCAGACTGAGAGCATAATGTGAAACCTTTTTCTCACTGCTCTTTCTAGGAAAACCGGTCAGTCTGAGCTACAGATGTCCCTGCAGATTCACCGAGAGCAACGTAGCCAAAGCCAACATCAAGCATCTCAAAATCCTCAACACACCCAATTGCGCTCTCCAGATCGTGTAAGTTGTCTGGGGAGTCATCTTTCACTGCGTAGCCTGGGAAGAAGTGCCAAGCACTGGTCGATAGCCTTTTGTTACTTGCAAGAGAAGTAAGACCCTGCCCTTGTCTCTGAACCTCTGCCCTTTGGGGAGGATCCCCTGAAATGCCATGTGTGATCACTAGGGTGATCATTATGTGCTCTCCCCACCCTCCAACAAATAAAAGGCCAAAAGAAAAGAAAAGTTGGCACAGTGCTTGGCACATAGAAGGTGCTTAATAGATGCTTTCTTCCTTCTTCCCATTTCCTTAGGAAGTCAAACTCCAATTCACTATGGATCTATGGACTTTACTTATAAATATTTTGGTTAGTTTAAGTTTCAAATGAATTCTGCCAATCAAAACCTAAAAAAGACTCTTTGAAAACCATGAAACATAATTGGAAGATGGTAGCTCAGTGGAAGAAACACTACCAGAATTCAGTGCTTCTCCAAATAGATCATTACAGGAAAGCTTGGTCAATGAAAACAAACAAAATCAACCAATAAACCATTTACTGATTGATTATATATCCCTAAAATATAATGCAAATAATGAACATCTTAAGTTCATAGAAGCAGATTATTTTGTTAAATCAAGGGGACATGAAGATAGCATATGACAATTAAAAGACTTTGTACTTGCCATTTCAGGAAAACAGCTTGTCTTTTCTCTCTTCCCCTCTCTTAGCTCACTTTTAAAACTAAGCTATTTCAGAAAATAAGGTGGTATAGGAAGGAAAGGAATCTGGAGCTGTAGTAAATGTGGCAACAGGCTACTGAAGAAAATCTTTGTGGCCAGAAAGACATCCTTCATCCTCAACATTTAAGTTCCTAGTATTTGTGAAAGAAAATCCAGAAATCAATTGTCTGCCATTTCCAATCCATTTTCTTTACCTTCATTCTTGCTCTTTTGCCCTTGTCAACCTTTGTTCCATTTTAATCAGTCTTCTCTTGAAAAAGGTAAGTTCTTCTAAAAACCTGAGAAGAGATTCTTTTCAAAACCTAACTTTTCCTCCCAAATCCTAAAGCATGTCATTTAAAACAATTTTCCATGAACCCAGAGACAATCCAAATACAGTTGGTCTGTTTTCTTGTGGGTTTTTTTTTTTTGTTTGTGTTTGTTAAACTAAATTCCTTCTTTGTGAAGTTCAGTTTGCAGTAGGAATCCCAAAAGAACTCTGAGTTTTGTTTTAAGGAAAAAATATTGCCCCAAAAGATAAATCCTGAAACTATCATCTAGTCAAATTCCCCACTGATGAAGAGCCATATAAAATATATTTTGTTTTTAAATACCATGTGTTTTTTCCCAAAGCCTCAGTCTTGGTGAACACTGTAACTGATATAGTTTTTGATTCTGCGGTTTACTTATTTTCTGTTGAAAACAGAGTGCAGTTTTTTTTTTTAAAGAAAAAATATAATCTGTTTTATTTTACAAGAATTTCATGAGAAATTTACTTTTTCCCCCTCTCCACATTAAATTCATCTAATTTGCCTTTCTACTTTGAACTTTAGGTTAAAAACTACCTATAGCACAGTTTGGAGGGGGGAAAAATCTTTATTTACCCAAGGTTTGGAGTGAGATCCCAAAGCTTTGGGAAAAACTCATTTCAATTTCTCTAATTCTCTGGGGGCTTTTCTCCTAGGACGTGTTGGCCTACGTAGGTTTCATTGAACTGGCCTTGTGTTATAATAAACAGGTACCTTGATAAGTAATTTGCAAAATAAAATCCTTACGGGGTCCTCTTTGTTTAAGCCAACCAGATAGGCTGAATTAGATGGCACAGATGTGGTGTAGAACTAACTGTCCTGTACTTGTGGGTTTATCATATATTTAGTCATTAAGTCCTCTTATTCTTTCCCTAGATTGGCAGTGGGATTCCTAGCCCTTTAATGCTTAGGTTGGAACGGTGCCATAAAATCCTAGAACCAATAACTTCTAGATGGAAGCTGGCATAATAGGATCATGTATTTGCAGATAGAAGAGAGTTTAGAAGTTACCTATTCCAACTCCCTCATTTTAAAGATAACAGAAACTAAGACCCAGAGACATTAGATGATTTTTTAAAATTATTTTTAATTTATGGAATAAAACAAGTTTTTTCCACAACATAATGCAATAAAAAAGATGATTGCACATGAAATTGCAAATTTGCTATGCACAAATTATTATTCCTTTCAAATATACAACAAGATTATGTAAATTATTTTTTTCCTTTTTTTCTTCCCATCCTAGAGATGACTACCATTAGACACAAATAGGTATGTGTGTGTATACACACATACATATGCATATATAAATGTATATATGTATATATATATATATAATTTTTTATACATACTTCTGTTCTTTCTCTGGATGCAGATAATGTCTTTCTTCATATGCCCTTTATAGTTAATTTAGGTATTTATGAAAGTTGCACACGTAGCAAAAGGCAGAGCTGAGATCCAAATCGAAGTCCTTTGACTCAATCTATTGCTTTTTCTGCGGTATTGTGCTGGTTGCTCCTGCATCCCAGGGATGTCACTTTATCATCCAAGAAGAGATGAGGATAGGTAAATAGGGTTTACAGAAAAAAAAAAAGTCTTCATATATTAATAGCTGTGCTTAAAAATTGACTGAAGTGCTCACTTGGAAGACATAGTGTCTCTTCAGTTTCATTATTGGTCATTTTTATCTTTCTCCTTTTAAAGTAATTTTTTAACTAACAAAAATTGCTTTTCTTTCTGGTGGTTTTGATCTTCTGGCAGGGCAAAGCTGAAGAGCAACAGCAGACAAGTATGCATTGATCCTAAATTAAAATGGATTCAAGAATACCTGGAAAAAGCTTTAAACAAGTAAGCAAGACAATCACAAAAGGACTTTCAGCTAATCCAAGCTGGGAAGTGCAAACACAGCTTACCAATGTAAAGGGTAACAATTTGGGTGGGGGAGGGGTCCTTATTCAGAAGGACTGAAGTGTTCCTATGGGATAAGGCATGAACCTATTGCAAGCTTGGGAGTTTATCAAATGTGTACACAATTAAGCAGTCCATAGTGCACCGGTACATTATTGTAACAGAGAATAATAGACAGATCTGACTCTGCTCTTGCGAGTCAGATCTCTATAACTGGGGTTTTTCTAGATTCATCATCTTTATAAAATAGCATTTCTTACCAGCCAAATGCTTTCTTTATTTTTACTTTTTTTTTAATCCATGATTACTTCAAAATCTATTATTCAACTCACTCTGAAGCTTTCCTTTCTTCTATCGTGAGCCTGGGTGCACAGTTAGCTTAATGATGGCCAAATGGGATCGATTGAAAAAAAAAAAAAGGTAGTCAAATGGAAGTTGAGAACTGAACCAAACTCCATTCCCTGCCCTCAAGAAGAGGATTGAAAAGGGGATTCTTTAATTTGCTGGCCAATCTGGAATCCCATTGATATGAAGAGGGATAGCTTGTATTACTCTGATTGGGTCATTTGGGACACCCTGCTGAATGTTATACAAGGAGATCAGTAGTGTCCCAGTGACTTAAGAGATTCATATTTTCCCTGCCTTAGATGTCCATATGACTTTACTACTAATCTGATATGCTGGAAATGAGGCTATAGTTAATGAAAGTGAAATTCAGATCCCTAGTCTCCAAGACCAAGGCTAATCTCCAGCTTCCTCAAGTAGAAACAAACACAAATGGAAATGCTCAAATTGTTCTTTGGTTCAGGGATACAAACTGCTGTGGCCTCAGCGCTAGCCATCACCCCATTAGCAGCTGTGTACCCAGTGTCTTCTTCTATCCCTCCCCCATCCCTTGTCCAAAAGCCATGCTTTAATTTTGCTTCTACTTCTCTTTTTCTGTACTGGAGATCTGATCCAAAGAGCTGTGGTAGTGGTGAAGTAGAAGCTCACCTCCATTTGACTACTGCCAACTCTCTCTAGGAACACCCCCCCCTTCCTGGTTCTCAGCTTGCCCTAGGCTTACAGTGCTTTAAAATGTTTAAAAACACCCCATGTGCTCCATTTCAGGACACTGGAGTTGGCTCATGCCTCAGGACTACCAGATCCATATCCCCATTTTCCTGGAAACAGAAAAGAATGTTGGCTAAATTGAATAGAGTTTTAAGTTCAGCAGTTTTTAGGTATTTGGTCCTGAAACTGGCTCCAAAGAAAGGCCATCTTGTCCATGCAGGGCCATACAACCTCTGAGATTTCTGAAACCAGAGCATTTACCCACTAATACCCTAGATCATTAAGCAACCACAACTTGGGGTCTATATTTCAATCAGAAATGTTGGCAGGAATGAAATTTCTGTGGATAAATGCTATTTGCAGATGATTCAGGCAGTGGCTATAGCTTTTGGCATGGCATGCTTTCGATATATTTTTTGTGCACATTTTTTTTTCAACTTTTCTTCAGAAAGCAAATGTATTTCAGAATATATTTATAGTTCATCGAACAATTCATATATTTGAATTGGAGCCATATGAATGTCAGTAGTTTAAATCTCTATATTACACCCAACTACTGACAAAATTTGTAAAATATATATTATATATATGATGTTACTGTAGCTTATCAATCTCAATCAGCCATACTATATTTTTTCACTTGTACTGAAATTGTATCAAATGTGACATTATATGCACTAGCAATAAAATGGCTAATTGTTTCATGGTACAAAAAACCTCCTGTATGTGGGAATTTGTTTATATGGAATAAAATTCATAAGTTTTTTTTTTTTTTAATAGATGGGGCTCTTGTAAATTGCTTAAATTTGCAAAGGAAACTGAACTGGTGCTCAAGTGCCTTAAAAGGCCTTCCTTTAAATGGTTTAAAGCTGCACAGACTAGTTCAATTTTTAATTTGATCACAGGAAAAAGGGCAGGATTTTTTAATGGAGTTTTTCCCCTTTCTTTCCTATAGTGAAACCCATAAGATGACATCTAGCTCACTAATTTTGCTTATCTTACCTTCTCTTCCTTAGTATCCATAACATCCCCCATGTAATATCCAGTGACTTGATGTTGACCTAATATTGAACTATCCAGGGAAGTCATTCACTGCATAAATCATTAAATACCATTAAGCTCATATCATTTTAATTTTATAGTCACTTGGGCAGTCATTCTTCTAAATCCTTCTAACAACCTAACTTGTTCTCCAGAACAGTCCCAGTCATAACCAAAAACAATTCAGGCAGCAAGTAAGCAAGACAAAGATGGACTATTTCTCATCCTCTTCTGGGCATTAGTCAAAACTTTGTTTCCTGAGTTATGAACAAAATTTAGATCAGCAACTAGAAGAGAACAACGCATGATTAAAAAAAAAAGAAAGAAAGAAAAAAGATGGGTGGTCAAATCTCTAGAATGAGGGATGAGCAGCCTATGTGCTCTCCTTGGTTTCCATGGGATGTCAAGTGAACATAGGGAAGAGTCTTACAGAAGGGACATGCCTAAGTGGATTTCAGTCTATAAATGTTGGATGAAATACCCACTTAGATAAGATTGAAGGTCATTGGGTTATTGGAGAGCTTAGTTTTATATCTAGCTCATTCATCACAATCTCCAATGTTTATATTTGTTTAATCTAAGCAATGTAAGTCCTTTGTGACTTTTGAATAAGATAATTGGAGATTTAGGGAAGCAGTAAAAAGGATAGAAATTTGTGATCTCCTCCTCTTTGGGAGGGCATCATTTTGGCATGGACTTTTGATAGTGGTCAATAAGTGCCCCAGGAATTGAAGGTTAACAAAACCTGTGCAAATTGCCAAATGTGGGGTACATCTTATTGATTACAATTTAGGGGGCTTATGGAAATTCACTTGAAATTTATTCAATGATATGGTTTATTATATGAATTCATAATGTTTTAAATGCTTTAATGCATTTTCAAAGGGGGAAAAACCTTTTCTGGGGGCCTCCAGGCCTAAGAACGTGAAAAGGGGGATGGACTGATTCATAAGGCGATGCTAAATTTGCACGGATTAAGACGAACTGTTTCATTTCAACGTTATTAATGGTTCTACTGGTTTTATCTAAGGGGGCGCAGACGAGCAAGAGTGGGGAAAAAAGAAAAGATAGGAAAAAAGAAGAGAGAGAAGAAAAGAAAGGCTGCTCAAAAAAAGAAAAACTAGTTGCCCTTTGCTGCCCTGGAGAGATGGATCCCCTTCCCCCCACAATATGCTCTTCTATTTATCCTCGGCGTTTTGTAAGCTTGCTCTAACCTCCCACACAAGGCTGCCTCTGGTAAAGAAAGAAACAGCCCGACTGGCACTTACGGCTGACCTTGTATCTGCCTTCCAGTGACTGAGCAACTTTTCGAGCTCTGATGGTATGTGTGCTCTGTTTGAGGCCTTTCTTGGCCCAGTTAACTTATGAAGAAGGTAGTTGTCTTTCAGAAATGGGGGTCATGATCTGTAAGACCCAGCCAGCTTTCCCCGAGACTCTTTCCTCCCCCTAAAATTGACTGAGGGCTCTATGTTAAACTTGCATCTCCGAAGCTCTTTATCCAGGGCCTTCTAACAGGGTCTGCAATCTCCCACTCCGAAAATGACCCAGTTAAGGAGGCCAAGCAAGCACCCATACAAGTTCACTTTGCATGCCAGCTGACCTGGGGGAGGGTGGAGCTACAGAGCCCCAGCTCTCCCATACAGAAAGGTGACATGCTTGGAACAGCAGAGCAACAGCAATGAGGAAAAACCCAAACCGAAACCAAAATGAGGCTAGGTATTAAGAAAAGGTGTTCTCCTTTTCTTCAGCTAAGTTTTTTTTAAGGGAGGACACCAAGCACTGGGCAAAAGCAGCTGTGCCCTAGTGCTTGGGGCAGGACTCCCTCCATCTTGGTTGCAGTTAATAATGGTGCTCTGTCCTCCAGTTCCTGGTTTCCAATTGCACTGATGACACACCATTAATTGATAGCTATTTTTTCAACCATTGTGCCTGACGATCTTCGTCCATGTCCAAGCCTCCCAGCCTGGAGCTCAGCCTTTCCTGTGTTACCTCAGAGCTTGGGTTGGAGATGGTGATGCTTTATGTTAGAGGTTCTCGCCTCTTGTCGAGAAACAGGAACCTCAGAGGGATACCTCTGTTCAAAGTGTCCTGGGGACAATCCACCTATTGATCAGCTGACTACTGGGACTGTGAGTTCTCTGGGTAATCTGTTGTGTATGCTGCCTTTCAAATATCATCTCTGTAATTGAAAGAGGGGCATTGGGAGCTACTTCTCTGCTGTGGGTAAGACCCACAATCTGGGTCAAGAAACCCCATTGTGATATTCACATATTCCCTTTGTGAGGGTTCCTTGGCATGGTAGGTAGGCCCTTTGCCCTGGTCTCCACTCTCTTTGAGAACTGAGTGAGGATGTTTCTGACTCTAAAATAGAATCCAATGGATTGATGGCCCAAGTGATCCAGCCTTCTATTTAGATGAAATAAATGCCCAGAGGAGAGCATGGGAATGTCCATTGCCTTATAACAGACCTCCTTGTATCTTGGAGATTTTAGAATGAAGGAGTGACTTTTTGATTCTTTTCCTTCATCTTCTCCCCTTCCCCCTCAGTTTATTATTTTAATAAATTCCAGAAAGACAGATGGATAGAGTTGGGGGATACAGGATGGAAAGAGGAAGGAAAGATGAGACGAAATAACACCCTGACATAAAGGAGTGCCAAATTCATGATGATCAAAGTGGCGTTAAGCTCCTCTCAGCCCTTTGAATGCCTCTGTTGTATTTTTCAGCAAATTTAAATTGTTCATTTTCCTCATTGGAAAAAAGTGTCTGGAGAACCCAGCTAAAATGCCACAAAAGAACATTTGTTTCTCAGTTGCTCACCACTTGATCTGAGATAACAGCCAGACTACCGCTGCACAGTTGATGGGAGGGAAGCCCTGATGATAGCAGTTTAATAAACTTTTGGGTGTCCAGGAATATCTTCCTTGGAAAGAGATATATTGTTGGAGATTGGACTGCAAGGAGCTGGGTTTATGGTCCTCATTCCCCTCCCAAGCTCCAAAGACACCTGGCTATTTGCTGACACAACCAGTGGTGAAATACTGGGCAGAATGGTCACATTCCTTGGAGAACCAATGGGAACTCTGCTCAGGGAAAGAGGTGGTTGAGATGGCCACATGATATGCTGGAAGCCCCTGTTTCATAATCAAACCTTTGCTCATGACAAAATGGTTTTCATTAATCCATCCAAGTGCAGAAACAATGCTTAGCTGCTTGAGTATAAAGGATGAGGTTGGCTCAGGCCCCAGAGCATGATGGAAAACAATTTAGCTTCTTGGAACCAACAGATTGGGGATGAAACTTGTTAACCAAGCTTACTGTGTGATGATGAAAAATTCCACTTTCCATATTGCAATGGGGAAAACAGCTCCTTGGTTCTGCCACTGTGGAGTCTTGTGTGAATTTCTGACTTCAGCATTCCTTCTCCCTTTGCCTTTCTAAGAGGGTGCCAGCTGGGTTCCATGGGTACGCTTGGGAAACACACCAAGGTCAAAGGAGGAGGTGAAATAGTTTAGATCTTGATTGGCATGCTCTTTTGCCTCCTTCCTGATTGCTACCCATCTCTACAGCACTTTATCTTTCTAAGTGGCTTTTGTAAAAATATTCATCAGCAGGATTGATCCTAATTTACTTGAGGCAATGGAAAAGTAACTGGCCCAAACTGGAACAGGAAAGAGGAAATATTTTCACTGCCTTTTTGAATTTTGAATCTTTAGCATAATCTACTGAACTCTTCCTCAAGAACTGTGTTCCCTTTAAATCTAACCTAAGACAATATGATACAGAATAATGGCATTACATGTGTTAAGGATCATATTATAAATTAAGGAGGTTTTCTGAGAGTCCTTTTCTGGGGAAATTTATTCTTGCCTTACCTGTATCTTCATTGTCCTCTTAGATGAAAATGACATAGATATGGCAGCTAGAAGGAAGTAGCTGCTTAGCAGGATAGAGTTTCATTTAAATGCAGGATTGCTGGCTTCTAGGTAGCCTGGTTGGGTAGCAGATAAAGGTCATGGTCTTTGCATAGCCATACAGCCTGTTCATGTGGTATGTTACGGTGATCTTGGATTCAAGTTAAACAAATCCATGTCCTTGGGAGACCCAAAGGGTGAGACATGTGTCAATCAGCATGTATGCTCTGAAGTCCATGAACAGCTTTCTCATCACCTGGCCAGTTCTACCCCTTCTGGGAACCTGTTTGTGTAAGTATGAATTCCCGTGCATCCTGCTCGTGATCTCAGGTCAATAAATGCGTTTGTCCTTCATTCATACTGCACTGATTCTTTAAAATGAGGTTATTGCCAAAGGCCAATTTCTGTTTTACTCTGTTTGACCAAAACTTGTCCTGTTTCCTTGTCAATTTGTCCATGTCTTTAGTCTTTGCTGTATATTCCATCTCCCTCTTCACCTCTTTAATACTGCCCATTTTACTAACTCTGAACTGCCTTCACTACCCGGTCACAGTGATGCGGGACCCTTTGTTTCCAGGGTCTTTTTCCAAAAGGAAGAGCATCACATGAGATTTTGAAGTAATTCTTGAAACTCCAACTTCAAGGGCATTCCAAGCAGGCATTGGTGTTTGAACCTTGATTGAACTTTGAGACACGACCACCTGTCTTTGAATAGAGTCCAATGATGACTAAGCCTTTAGTCGGATTTTGCCTTAATGGTATTTCACTCTGTTCTTCATTAACAGGAGGTTCAAGATGTAAAAGGCACGCATTGTAAGACTGAAGCCTGAAGGATTTCTTACTGTAGGACCAGAAAGCAGATAACAAGTATTAGGGAAGGAATGCTCATGGCTGTCACCAGGCAGCTCTAGGGATGGCTAATGCATTTCAAAGGCTCTGTTTTGCACAAATCCTGGCTTGCTTTCACTGTATTATTATGTAGCAAGATATATGGTGTTTATTTTTTATTAAGTTTGTTCTATTGAATGTCACTGGTGACAGATATGAACTCATTAGACTAAGTTCTTTATTTTTACTTATGTTATCATTTTTCCTGTGTGAGCCCTAGTTTATCTTGCACTCAGTGTTTGGGGCACACCAAGAGTTACTGGGTTTTACGTATAAATATATGGCAGGACATGAGCTGCAATATGTACCAAGATCTTTAGCTGAAGAGTATGACTTATTGACATGAAGGATATGGCCATTTTAGGGATATGGGCCCAGAATTACAGCTACCAATGTTGGCCCAGTATTAGGTGGGTGGCCTGATTTTTTTTTTAAACCAGAATGTTGCTCTTGAGTTAATTCCCTCTCTTCATGTAAGAACAGAGAGCATCTTTTCAGGTCAAGAGGAAGTCATCCGGGAGGATGATAGATGCTCACAAGGTTGGCCCATTACTGGCCATTGTCAAAAATGTGAGGGCAGAGCAGGGCTACACCATCCATGTTGTCACCTGCATCCCATCATTTTCTCCTCATTTTCATTTTTTTTCTCCATCCATCACCACGTGTATCTAAGACTGTCTTTGTCCATGGCACAGGAAAAAAAAATCTCTCAAGACTAAACTTTTAATTTAAACCAAGCGTTGAAAAAAAAGTGGAAATCTGTTATGTCCCAAAGGTATACTGCCAATGGTGTGTGTTCCATATGTGTCTTGTATGGAATATTGTCAAAATGTCAAATGCTGTGTTTTTGTGTAGAATTGATGTCAAACAGTATGCCCAATGTGAAATGCTGTATGTTCTGTTGGAATGCAAAAACTGGGATAGAGCATGTATACCCTGATGTCTCTTGACCCTACTGCCAATTTGTCAATGTGTGTGTGTATGTATGTCCCTTTGTTTTGGGGTTCTTTTAATTGCCTCGATGATCAGGGGATAAACAATGTTCCCTTCCCTCAGCAGAGCACAGGGTGATCAGGGTGGTCACTGAGTTAGCCTTTCAGGGCACTCACTCTGTTGCAGGCTGGGCACCTTGTCATGGGGACCAAACATTTTGGAAATTATCGGGGGAGCTTTACTCTGCTGTAGTGAGGACTAGGAAACTTAGAAATCAGAATGTCCTGGAAAGACTCCTCCTCCTGTATTGTGAATAGCAGACATTTAAAAAAAATTAAGGCACTGCAACATGAAAATTTCTCCTAAATAACAATTTGACTTGGTTCTACATCTGTACTAATCTGGAAATCATACCCCTTCTCTGTGCTTACAAAGGGGACCTGACCCACTCATTTTTCGGCATCGTCCCCTCTCTAATTCTTTTTGGAAAGGAGTTATTTGGCATTGTCTTGAAATAGATCAGGCAGGGGGCATCCACCATCTGTACTTTCAGTTTGATCCCATGTGGCCTCAGCCTGTTCCTACCCTGTCTTTTAGGGACCTTTTTAGTTCCTGAGAATTATGGGTCTTTTTTTTTCCCTTGAGCTGAGTGACCAAAAATGTCACATTTATTAATTCAACAAAGTGCCTACTACATGCTAGGCCCACTGCTATTTCTCTTGCCTCAGTTTAAATCCTCTCTTAATCTATGAAATCAACAAGAAAATATGAAGACCAGCTGACAGGCCAAGACAAGAAATAGGCAACACATAAATTATGTGTACGCATAGTGAAAGGAAAATTGGATTTAAAAATTTTTTGGATTTAATAATCTAAGGGATTATCAATAGCATCTGTTAAAAATTTTAACAATTCTATGTTGAACCAGGACATGATTCCTTTAAATTGGATCTGATCAGTGGAAGAAGTTGAATCTGTCAGCTGAAATAATGTCTTTATTCTAATTTAGACATCTAGAATCACTTCCCAATATCCTTTGTTGTTTTAAAAAAGCTGGAGACCACAATGAATTTCAAGACTTGTCTAAATGGGTCCTTGACTTGAGATTAACTTGTCTTATCCCTAATTTACTTTCTGAATCACTTATAAAGCAAAATTTTGGTGGAAACATGTTGAGTTTTTTTTGTTTTTACAAAGGATCAGAGGTTCTAAAAGATTTAGGTCTTCCATCCTGGCTTCTTAGACATTTGGAATCATGACTCAATAGTCCTGATAGTTTCCAAAATCTCTAGGTCATATAAATGAGAAGAAAGCTACATTTCTGTTTTGGGTTTTTTTAAAATTTCAGTTAATTACAGTTTTCTAGGAGATTTTTCACAGCTTTGTCACCTAGAGGATGGAAGAAGAGACAGGAAGAAAAATGCTATTGTGTAAGAAACAAATCTCCCCACCCCCAAGCTGACCAAGGTAGGCATTCATTGAAACAGCCCATTTGCAAATGAATATTCACTAAGTGCTCCTTGATTTTAGAGATATGTGTTTTGTAGGCCTTGAAGCCACTCAATCCCATGGAATAACAAAAGGGCATTTGTCTTGATACGGAATCTTTTCTGTTGAAGTCCCAGCTCCCCACTCACATCCTTTGCATCAGAAAAGTTGAATGAGGAAAGTAAGGATGTAACCCAGTTTCTTTCTGTTGAAAAAAAAAAAGGTAATTGGGTTCCAGTATCTTGTACTGTTGTCTGTGTCACAACCCATTGTTGTTTGGGTACCCCAACTTCAGGTGGACCAGTTGAGAGGTATCGCTACCTGGATGCTGAGACCGAGTAGAAGAAGGTTCAGCTGTGAAGCTTCACCAAAGATGATTTTAGAGAAAGGAATCATTTTTGGGTAGGGGCCTGCATAGCTACTAACAGCATCTGTAAGCAGGAGAGGATGAAAAGCATGTAGACAGAATAAGAAGCGTATTGTCAGTAAATGTCACCCTTATCTATTGTGGAAAACCACGCACACTCTCCAGCAGGGAGGGAATGTGAGCCAGGAGAGTGAATCATATCTGGAATTGTGACCTTGGACAGCAGTATGTTTTCACAGCTTCAATTTCAAATTCAGGACGTTGAATTAATTTTTCTTTTTTAAATTGTGATGATCTTGTAGTAGGAGATGGTGACATTTGAATCTGAGGGTATACCTAGAGGTGGAACTAAATAATTCCCTGGGTGTTTTGTGTGTCTCTACACCCCTACATTGCCACTCTTCAAATCTCCTTAATGTAATTTGATTTCTCTAACCAACAAAAAGTCAGTATCTTCACTTCTTTGGGAGCATTGGACCTTGCTCCCTTTGAAATCCTTCACTGACACATGTTGGACAGGGAAAACACATCTGAGAAATGCCTCTTACCAAAATGATATCTTTATTTATTTTTCTGGTTAGAAATTTCTGTGTTCTAGACATGATCAACCCACAGGCACTATCAAGGGCCCAGAAGGAACCATTTGCCCTGGAAATAATTTTCATAAAAGCTCAGTCCCCGATCAGTGATAACAATATTGTTGTGTTGTTGTTGTAATTGTTGTTAAAATGTGATAAATACTGTATTTTGTATTTTTTAAAAAAGCAAATCTCCCATATAATGTGAAAAAAAAAAGTTCCTCTAGAAGGCAGCTGGAGTGTATACATCATGCTTCTTTTTTAAAAAAGTAACTCCTTTTGAGAAAGAAAAACATGTTTTTCATCACATTCATGTCTTTTATGGATGTATATGCACTTATCATTTTCCTAATAAAGATCTGTATTCAAACATAATGTTCATTGGTCTGAAGTTGGTATTCATTGAACTTGATTTTTTTTGCCCCAGATTTCCTTTCATTTGTCCCACCTAAGTCCAACACATATTAAATGATGACAGAAGTTATGTATAACTGGAGCTGGTGTTTGGGGGTGGGAACAACCTGGTTAATTAATTATAAATGTAGATATACTTACATACATACATACATGCATACTAGAACATCTATTGCATTATAACTCTCATCATATCAAATGATTCTCAATAGGAATAAGGGTGCTTACCTTGGTTTGAGTTGAGTCCATTCTAAAAGATTATCTCGGTCTTCTATAACCAGATTAGTCTACCATGTTCCAGACATTGTACTATGTAGCTATTCTCTCTCATTTAGGGCAACCTAAGGGAAACATAAGTTAGAAGGAATAATGTGACTTCTCACTGGAGGTCAAGTTAGGGACGACATGAATACTCAATGAGGAAGTCATGGACAGGATGCCTGTTTAGTTAGGGTATACAATGTACGACTTCTCGGACCCTTTCTGACTTGGGGTTTCTCTAATGTCAGTCTTTAAATACTTGAAAGGTTCTCAAGAAGATTATTTGGCCCCAGAGGACACAAGAAGAACCAGTGGGTAAAAATTAAAGGGAGACAGATTACAGGTCAACATGAGGGAAACTTTCTAATAATTATTGTTACTCTAAAATGGAATAGACTCCCCTAGGAGATAATGAGTGCCCTATCATTAGAGATCTTCAAGTGGAGACTAGATGGTCATTTAGGGGGACATGCTGAGAATAGTGATCATTGGATGTCACCAAGTGGAAGCTGGATGACTAGGGATGCTGTACAAAGGATTTATGCTTTGGATATGTTGTTCAGTCATTTTTCAGTCATGTCTGGCTCTTTGTGACCCCATTCGGGGTTTTCTTGACCAGGATAGTAGAGTGGTTTGCAATTTCCTTCTCCAGCTCATTTTACAGATGAGGAAACTGAGGAGAACAGGGTTAAATGACTAGCCCAGGGTCACATAGCTCGTAAGTGTCTAAATATTTTTGGAGGTTTCTTCCAATGCAGTAATTCCACAATAACTTAGGTGAGGGTTTCTCAAACTTTGTCCCTTGAAACCCTGGTATTCTGTATCAGTGATATCAGATTTAAACAGAAATGGGGAGGCAACAGTTCTTTCATAATTGTCCCAGTGAGCCACAAACTCTTGACTTCATTTGAAAATGTAATATTATCTGTGTTTTGTTATATTTCTATTTTTTTTTGTTAAATATTTTCCAATTACATTTTAATCTGGTTTGGGCCACACTTTGGAGTGTTGCAGGTCACATGTGGCCCAGGGGCTATTTGACACAATCTGTTTTATATTATGTGAAAAGAGGTTTCATGAGAAATATGTGATGCTGGTGATATTTTCCTCTTTTAATTTGTAATCAATCACTAACCATTTTATCAAAAGGATTGTTTATTTACTTCCTTCAGTCTTCTATAATTTGTAGTTTGTAAAATATAAAACATCATCCCAAACTTTTTAAAGATCAATTAAAAAAAGACCTACTTTTGATCATATCTGGCAATTTTTGTAAAAATTAGTTTAATTTCTTCTATTCAGATTCAAAATTTTCCATTTGTTTTTATCCATATCACTACATCCAAATATGCGAAGTCCCAAAAACTATGCTAAGGAGTTTGTGTATTCATTATCCTGTATCCTATATCTGTTCTGCCTGGTTTCCTCTCCAATGGAACAAGATGCCCCTCCCAGGTTAAACTTATCACCTTTTATCTTATCACTATGTTGCTAACTCAAGCCTTGAGTGATATCTCATCCCTTAGTTTCCTCTCCCCTGTGATTGGAAGGTTAGAGAGTAGAGTACCAAACTCCACCCAATGCCTTCCTTTATAGAGGGCAAGAACTGGCATATTTACTGTCCTGCCTGGTTTCATCTCCATGGAACAAGATGCCTATTGGTCTCCCCCCTGCCTCTGGCTTCCTTTTTCGAGTTGTGTCTCCTCATTAGAATGTAAGCTCTTTAACGGAAGGGACAATCTTTCTTTTTATTAATTGTATCCCTAGTACTTATTACAGTGCCTGGCACATAGTAGGTGTTTAATAAATATTCATTGGATTGGACATTCAATTAAAATCTAGATCCATATGTCAGAGTCATCTGTATAGAAAGAAAAAGGTAGTTATTGAAGCCTTGGAAGCAGTTGAAAGCATCTAGAAAGAGACTGTAACTAGAAAAGATGAGTTCTTAGCCCAGAATTTTGGAGTATATCCACAGGTAAACTGTGGGAAAGACATTTAAAAAAATAGCAAGAGGCAGAAGAGGAGCAATCAGAGAAAGGCAAGAGAATCATGAGAAGTTCTCATGCCACAGAAGCCAAGGCAGAAGTGGGTAACAAAAAGGAGGGGGTGATCAGAGGTCAAATACTGCAGAGAAGCCATAGAAGATGAAGATGCAAAAATACTCAATTGGAAATAGTGATGAATAGGTCATTCATGACTTTGAGGAGAGCTGATTCGTTTGAAGACTTGGGAGCAGAAAATAGTTTTTACAAAAGGGTGAGTGGGTGGTGATCACATGTAGAGGCAATAAGTATAGATAACTCTTTCTAGCAGTTTGACTTGAAGAACTAACTGGGGAAAGACAAGCAGAATAAAGGAGTCCTGAAATATTTGAAGTCTAAGGAGAAGGAGGCTGGAGAGAAGAAGAGATTGAAGATGCCTGCCCATAGTCAATGAAGAACCCTGGGAGATTTTTGAATGTTGGGTTTGAATGAATGGAATGTTGGCCGTGCAAAGTAGAAATTGTAGGAGGCAGACCCCAGTGACAGAAAAGGGTAAAGTAATCTCAGTGAGACTTAAAAAAAATAATTGGATGTTGTGGTGCTTGGTTTTGTTTTGTTTGGGTCCATATTCAAGATATCTGAATATGGTTTGAGTGAGGCTCATGATTCCAAAGCGCAGAACTGGGAGGCAGAACAAGACAGCTCAGGACAGGAGTCAGCAGAATGAAAGGAAATAAGCCTGTGTTATTGAGGGGAAATAATCATAAGAAGGACAGTTGGGGACAATGGGAACAAGTCAGGTCCACTAATGTGGAGGAATTGGGTGTCTAAGCTGGTAAATTCCAATGGTTTTGTGTGTGTGCATATGTGTATATACATGTATATATGAATATATATAAATATATACACACATATATGTGTGTATGTGCACACATGTATGTATGTATGTATATATATGTTGTATTATGCATGTGTATTTATACATATTGTATATGCACTGGGATTTATTGGTATGCACACATTTATATACATATATGTCTGTATATAGGTATATGCACTATATGTATACATACACATGAAGTTATATATAATTAAATCTATACAGATACATACATATTCACACATATGCATATGTGTTCAAATGCATATAAAATTAAATCAGTACATATACATTGAGCAGCTAGGTGGTGCAGTGGATAGAGTGCTCATCTTCCTAAGTTCAAATCTGGCCTCAGACTCTTACTATCTGTGTGACCCTAGACAAGTCACTTAATTTTGCTTGTTTCAATTCCCTCAAATGTAAAATGGGCTAGAGAAAGAAACTGCAAACCACTCCACTATCTTTGCCAAGAAAATCCAAATGGGGTCATGAAGGCATGACAGAAAATGACTAAATAGCAAAAACATATATGTGTGTATATGTATGTATGCACATGCATACATATATCCATGCATGTACATACATAACATATATTTGTGTATATACATACATCTGCATACATACATAAACATATATGTATGCATATATATGTATGTATATACATATAATAGACAGTTCCAATGTGAGTCTAGAAGGAGGAAGTAGGGGTGGGAAGGAAGGAAGCAGAAGCTTGAACCTGGTATGCAGGTCAAGGTTGGGGAA